TAATATATTTTGAACTTTTACTTTTGAAAAAAAAAGAAAAAAAAGATATTGTAGTTATAAGAAACGGCTTATGAATCACGGCACCAAAATAAGTGTACGGTGAAAATACACATGGTAAACCTCATATAAAGAGGGTGGAAAACGAAGTTAGAAAAGTTAGCACTAAGTTCATCCACCCAACATTGGTCATTTGGTCAATAATTAATGAATGCCCACTAATGTTGAATAAAATACTTCACCATGTTGCTAATATTTTGTTTATAGATTTGTTAAATTCTAACTAATGAAAGCGAAGGTCAAAAGTTTTGGATAGTGCTATCATGAATCATACTGTTTTCAATAAAAAGAATTTGAAGTTTTATCAACGATAGTCTTAAAATTATTTGATCAAATTGTTCTGTTGAAATTATTAACTTTCGTACCACTGTGTATCTTTTAAAGATTAGTTATTGTTTGAAAATAATACGTGAATTAAATATTATATATATATATATATATATATATATATATATGATTTGTTTTATTCATTTCATTCTAAATTTTGAAGATAAAGTTTTTTATTTAACTTTTTCTTATTACCTTATATAAATTTCTAAATTCTTTTTGAATTTTATATTTATAAAATGTTTATAATAATTTGATTTATTATTTATATTATTTTAAAATTATTATAACTTTATTAAATAATTCAATACATACTATTTTTAGTTATAAAATTAAATTAAAATATTTTTTTTAAAAATTTAATGTTTCAAATAATTTCATTATATATTTATATATATTTATTTCAAAATAAAATATTTGCATATTTCACATACTACTAATTAGTTCCTTAAAAAAATACATCTAACATGATAGAGAAATAACATTTAGTCCATGAGATGTTGTAGTGCATATTTAGTGAGAGGAAATTTTTAATGTGGACGCAAGGGTGATTTATTTTGACCATACAACCCAATGACGGTCAAGGTTAAAAAATGTTTAATAGTCACACAATTCTTTTAAAATTTCACGTAATTTGATAGTTAATCTTAACAATTTATGACTAGATCTAATGCTAAAGATTCATCCCTTTCGTTTGATACACTGCCTATATATATAGGGAATTACTTAAATAAGAACACTTAATTAATAATCCCACACACATTAAAACATTAAAAGGAATTTATATATTTTAGAAATAACATATATATATATATATATGTACTTTTTTACACCACATATATCTTTCCAAAATATAATCATACATAAGTGGATAGATCACTTCAGCTTGAAAAAAACAATTCCACACTAATTAATAAACGTGCTCAGCAGTGGTTTATATATTTCTTATTCTACTTAACTAATGAATTTTTAATAAATATTATTTTTTATTAATTTAAGGATTGATTATAAAGTTTTCATTAAGTGATTTATAAATTAAAATTTGATAGAATTTTAAAATTATTTAATACATTATCAGTAGACTTTATTTAACATATTACATATAATAACAATGATAATTATAACAATAATACATAGTTAAATATTAATTATAAAATTACATATTTATAAATATTTATTTTATAAAGAATTTGACATACATAATCATTAGATGATATTATATAATTTAATAATTAGATTTATTAACTTTATATTTTAATAAAATTATTAAGCAAAATAATTTACAAAACTTACTTGTTGATTAATTAAATTCCTTCCTATTTATATGTGGGACAACATCTTGAGATCAACATTGCAAAAATTTTGTATAAATATTAAATTTTATAAATTTTGTAATAAAAATTTTCAAAGTAAATTAAGTTAAAATAAAAGTAATTTTTATTATCAAATTACATATTTTAAATATTTAAATATTTAATATGTATAAAGATAAACATATTAATTATAATTTAATTGTTAAATTAATAAATTTTATTATAAAAAATATTTAAAATATCGTTTTATCAAATTTAATGTATGATATAAATTGATTGTGTCCTAATATAAATTATTATTTTTATTTTACTTAAGATTTTAATTTTATTGCACTGTTATTTTACATTATTAATTAATTAGAATAATATTTTTATTAATATAAAAATTTGATTGAATAAAATAAATTGTTTTTGACATTATTAATGTTTTAAAATTAAATTCTCAGACCAATATTCATCGTATATGGTTTGAGCTCACTTGATCCTCCCTCGTAAATACATGGATTATTCCACTATTCAAATTCCATGAAAGAAAAAGAATCTTCAAAAAGAAAAAAGAAATTGAAAGATAATCGGTGTTGGAACAGCGGAGTAATTTGGGGAGTGTTTTTGGGCCGAAACGTAGATTACCTCCACAATATTCTAAAACTCAGATCTCACATGCATTGATAGATGGAGGTTCGTGGTCTCGTGGAGGATTCAGTTTCCCTTATCCACACGTAAAATTATAACTACCTGCACGTGTGATGTCTCTTCGTTTGGTAGAGTCACGTGACTGCACCCTACTGCCTACTCCAACAGCACAGCACGCACAGAAGAAAAAACAAAATAAAAAACGCGCCGAGAAAACGGAAAAACCCTAACCAGTTCCGTTTTCTTCTTCTTCTTCTACACATAACTGCTTCTTCCACTTCGTGCATGCCTTCCTCGGTTTTTTTCTCCACTTTTTCTTCAAGGTACTAGTCTCTCTCGCTGTCTATCTGTGCAATTTCAATCTTCGATTTCGGTGTTGAATTTGAGCTTGCGCTGCTAGTTACGGCTGTGATTGCAGAGTTGAATTCTCCGATGATACTGGTTTTTTGGTTGTGATTTGAGTTCGGTTTGATGAGAATTTGGCATAGTTTGAGTTTTGTTGTTTGGTTTCGTTTTGGTGTTGCCTATTGTAGCTTGAGTCGTTGAAATGGTTTTTGTTTACTTTCTTCACGTTAGGGCTAGTGGAATGGTACGAAGTAGTGCTTTGAAATTTCAGCTACTTCGTTAGTATAGTTAGGTTTAGTGGCCGAATAATCATGGCGATGGAGTTGCTGAAAATGAAAGGTTTCAACATCGATTGGTGGGAATTAGAGTGTTGAATGTGGCATCGCAAGGTGACCGCTTGTGAGTTTGGTCATTTGATTGACGCAAGTGCGCTTGTGGTCGTGGAAGTGTCTCTGTGTATCGACGTTAATATTGACTAAACTTACGTCAATCCTAGCACTATTAAGAGTAGCATCTCTTTGGTATACGCGCATATGATGGTTTCAACGTGCATATGAGGATATTTTGTGGTAGTATTTTGAGATTTGATTTTCTTTTTGTTTTCCATTTTCTGTTGGTATATTTTCAGTAACAGTTTTGCTAACTATTGCTCTTAAGGAATCAATAAATGAAAAACCTTTTATTGGAAATCATGGTTCAGAAGTGTTGGTATCATTAAATGCTATACTTTTCAATAAAAAAAATTACTTTTGATTTTTTAACCATTATTCTAAAGCCATTGCTATTTGCTACTACCCCTAGGGCGATGGTTAACAAAACCGTTTCAACAATAATTTATAAAAATGACATTGTTTTCATTATATTTTGTAGTTTTATGAATTTGTGAAGGGGATGCTTAACAAGATTGCATTGTTTTCAGCATTTAGTTCAGAAAAACATGCAAAATAGTGTACAAAGTGAAAACATGTCGTTTTTGCAATTATTAATGAAAACATGTTGCTTGAAATAAAAACAAAATATGAACTGAACTCTGAACACGCTCTAATTATTAGTGGTTACCTTGGTTTTTCTAACAGTAGCATATATAATTTAATAATGAGCCGGTGCTGAGGTCATAAGATATACTGGTAGTTTTCTTTTTCCGGGTATTATTTTCAATATTGGTCATTTTTTGTCATTCTTGTTATAACATGCAATAACGGACACAGTAGAGTTTAAAATATCATCACAGTCTTTATGATAATGAAATTGAGGAAGTCATTCAAGGGTGGAGCTATCTTGTTGCTCTTTGTGGGGGAGGAGGGGGGAGGGAAACTTTTAAATTTTCCTCCTTTCATATGTAGAATAATAAACCTTCAAGTTAACATTGTTTCTGAATTCATTTAATTACAGCTACTTCTAGTATAACCATCAAATTCAACCACAATACAGAGCATTGAACAAAATTAAATTATTACTTGATTTTAGTTATTAAAAATGAAAGTTTTATAAATTTTTTCTAGTTACAACCATTTGTTTGAATGTTCTTTTAAGTGTTGAAGATATTTGCAAAATTAATTCCTAAATTATTGATAATGTGATGAGGTAAATTGTTACATGAACCTACTTTGCTATCCTCTTTAATAATGCTCATAAAACAGTTGACATATTTGAAATTTAATCTTTGTTCTTTTGATAAGAAGCATGAAAATACAAATAAACAGGTCTGTATTTTACCTACATTGAAGTATATCATATTATATCTTATTGGGAGCAATTAGTTGTGTATTTATTAATAATATGTATAAATTTGAGTCCAAATCAAGCTCAATTATTGTGAATAATTTTTCAATTTTTTTGTTTATTTTAATTTATATTTATATAAAAGCAAGTCATTATAACTCTTTTTTATTAATATTAACTTTGAATTTTTCATTTTTATATTTGGCCCCTTCAACCAAGTTATCCTAGCTCTGCCCCTGAAGCCAGTGCGTGGTGTATGCTCAACAGCAAATTAGACTAGATACCAAATTAACTTAGTTACATGGACTAGACTATGTTTTCTTGATGAATAACTCAATATGCTGCATAGATCCCCCGCAAGGGTTTTTGCTTCCCCATCCATAAGAGAGAGACATAGAAAGGGCTTAAAATTTTCTTTCAGTTATTCAAAGTTAAGTTGAAATTCATCAGCTACTTATTATTATGGAAAGTGGAGTTTGAAATTTATAATTACGATGAAGTTTAAAATAAAAATATTTTCTTTTTACTTTTATCACCTTGAAAAATGAAGAAATTTAGGTTTCTTTTGCATATTGAGTAAGAGTAAATACATACATCATTTTGAGATGAAACTTCATTCTTTTACTATATTGACTTTACAATCAGTTTGCCTAAGGATATAATTGGTACACTCTGGAATCACAATTATTGAATATTGAATAATATTTCATTCTCAATTGGTTTATTCCCATAGCACTTCCTGCTTTATCTTTTAGTACAGGGACTTGTGGAAGCATCTCTCACAAGAATGCTATTAGAGTCCATTACTATCCCAACTCATGGAGAATATTTGAAGAATCTATGCTTATCTTGCAAACCAACGTTTTTGAAGAAGTACAAAGTTTCCTTTGTATTGTAATAAACTTGTCATTGCAAACGTGCCAAAGCCCTAGTAATTACAAGCCGTGTCTGTTTCCAAATGTCTGATGCTGCTATGGCAATTGTGAAACCAGAGGTATCAATTATATTCAATCTGTTCTTTTAATCCATTTTTTTTCTGTTATTATGGACTTGTTTCAGCTTGCTTTGGCTGTATGTGTTGATTCAATGCATAATATATGCATATGAGATTGCATTGTCATCTCATTACTGTAGGTCTTAATGAGTAACTATTAGGGCATCTAAAATTCTTATTTATTTTACTTCTAGTTCTTCAGTATGTGTCAGAATTCTTTGAATTTGTAGACAAGATGAAGATTTCCTTTACGATGTTTTTTGGTTTAAGAATAGATATTCTGTCTGGTCTTTAATACAAATAAGTGTTAGTCAGGGCTAGAGGCAGGAATTCTATTCATCTGGAACAACTTAATAATATGATATCATCACATAAGTCAATGAAGAAACGTAGCTGTTTTTCTACTAGTTTTTTTACTCCTCTTTTATCTGGTATTATGAAGACTCCCCCTCTCCAAAAAAAAATAAAGAATCCAGTAGATGTTAAATAGTGTATTTTGCATACTTCCCTTTTTGATCACCACCACTGATTTCTACTTCTAGATAATAAGATGGGGTTACTCTATTGTTTTGAAATTTAGAATATGGTAAAGTCAGGTTTACTGTTGTTGCCTGGGTGGCTAGTTAGTTGATTTTAGTTTGTTGTTCGCATGCTTAGATGAAATCGTACATCTGGCTTCAAACTGTTGATGGTTCTATTCAGCAAGTAGAGGAAGAGGTAGCCATGTTTTGCCCCATGATTTGCCAGGAAGTACTTCAGACAGGCATGGGATCTTCCAAAACATATGCTATATCTCTTCCACAACGTGTCAATCCTGCAAGCTTGGGTTTAATACTTGATTACTGTCAGTTTCACCAAGTACCAGGACGATCTAATAAGGTCTGGAATAATCCAACTTTAATGGGATTCATTTTAACTTGCTTTTAGGCATATATATACTTTTGTACTCCTTCATTATTTGAAGATTTCGTGCTTGTTAGTTTTGAAGTATATTTGTTAATTTTGAACTTTTACTTGATCCTATCTAAGACATATTTGGTAACTTGTCCGTCTTTTTGGTTCTTCATCAAAATATTATCTCTTTACTTTCACTTTTATCAGCTGAAACACTGGAGAGATGGCACAATTTATATATTAAGAGTGTTTGTGTTTTATTGTTCTACTGTTGTAGGAGCACAAAACTTTTGACGAACAGTTTATTAGGATGGATACAAAGAAGTTATGTGAGTTGACATCTGCTGCTGACAGCCTCCAACTGAAGCCTTTGGTTGATCTGACAAGCCGAGCCCTTGCTCGGATTATTGAAGGAAAAACCCCTGAGGAGATTCGTGAAACATTTCATTTGCCTGATGACCTCACTGAGGTTTGTGACAATAGCAAAAGTGATCCCAGTATGCACTCTGCAATCATGTTTGTTGATCTTGATTAACATTTGGTCTTTGACAGGAGGAGAAGCTGGAGCCTCTCAGAAACATAGCCGATGATCCACGAATTCGACTTCTAAACAGATTATATGCTAGAAAGAGGAAAGAACTAAAAGAGAGGAAGAAACTGAAGGTAATTTCTACCCTTTAATTCCATTCATATTGTTGTTCCTTGCATATTGAATGTTTAACATAATTCTTAGGTTGAATTATTAGTTTGATCTCCGCATGCGATAACATTTCTTTAGTCCCTTCATGAAGAAACTCTACATTTTGGTCCTTATATGAAAAGTTATTTACAAAATAGTCCCTACCATTTGTCAGAGTTAGAACAATGTTAAATTTGATCCTTATACTTGACACTATTTTTCATTTTAATCCCAATACTTAAACTTCATTGTGGTCCCTACATATAAAAAACTTTACAGCTTAGTCTCTACACAGACATATCATTTTTTGTTTTAGTCCTACATCAAAATATATTAACTTCGTTATAACCATGATAAATAGTGGGGACCAATATGTTTTTTTTTTTTTTTTTTTTTTTTTCATATAGGGACCAAAAAGTGTAGAATTTGTTCATATTGGTACTAAAATAAATTAAAAAAAAGCCTTTTGATTAATAATATTTCTAAAAATTTAGTTCTTGACTGAGTTTAATGGCATCATGTGTTCATGTAGCCAACTTCACCTAGTGGGTTAAGGATTAAGGCATGGTTGTTGTTGTACTAAAATAAAAAGCAAGTCAGTATAGGAACTAAAATTATAATTTATTCTTATGATTAACTTCTTTACAACCTGTGTTGCAATCACCCTAAAGAGTAAAATGTTTTACATGCTTCAGGATGTTGAGGCTGAGGAACCAAAAGATGAGCGCTCAGTTGAAGATCTTCTAACATTTATAAATGGTGCAGATAGAGGTGTCTCCTGTCTTTCACTCTGACCTCTTATCAAAATTTCGTTTATCATTAATTTTTGTTGGCTGTCTTATCTTTTTTTTTTTTTTTTGGTGGGAGTCGGGGGAATAAATGATGTCAATCTTGTCTGACTGTTAAAGAAAGGAAGATCATTTTATTACATTTTGTTCCTCTCTTATAATACTGCTGTGTGACTTGTTTTCTCAACTTATACTTTTGTTCCTGCATACCTTTCTTATTTAGACATCAATCTGATGCTGACTAAGATTTTAAGTTTTGAATATTGCCATCAATAGGATTATTACTGGCCTACTACTTTATGATGAGATAATTTTTAGATTTTCTACCACACTGTGTCTGGGACAAAGACTGGTAGGGCCAGTCCATGTCTGGGACTGAAGGTGCCAAGGTTGGGCTAGACTAGAACAAAGACTGGGACCAGATTGCTTATAGGACAAAGACTCAAGCTACTTTTCTGCTACTACTGTTATTATTTTTTGTTTGTAATTATTGTTTAGATGCATGGAGTTGTTCTTGCTTTTGCTAGATGGTAGAGTGCATTATGGTGATTTCTTGTCATCAAATAAAAAATTTCTACATTTATTCAATCATATTGCTTGTAGTAAAGTCTTCTTTAGAGTACAATAATTTTAATGCACCCTACCTTATTTTTGCTTTACATGGCTTACCTTAAGGGATACATATGATTTGGCAGATGTAAAGGGAACTAGAGCAAATAAAAATAAAAAGAAGAATAGGAGAAGGAAAGACCATGCAAAGGATCTTTCTTCAAAAAATGCAAATGAAAATGATAATAAGGTTAGACTCTGCCACTTTTTCTTTCTGAAAACACTTGTTGAGGATATATTTGTGAGGTGCATGAATCTTACTCTCATCGCTTAGATGATCGGTAGCTCTTGGTCCCAGCATTATTTTTTGTATTTGAGTACTGCCTCATTGAATATCCTTTTATGTATTTTAGGAGTTGAATCCACTTCCTTCTGCATATCACAATGGCAATTTTGACAATTCCTTAGAATGCTCTGCAAATAAACACTCAAGGATGCAAGATCTTTCAGCTGTTAATTTTTCTCCAATGTTTGAGTTTATTGATGGTGATCTTGATGATGATTTAGATCCTGCAATGAAGGAGGAGCTTGACAGGTAGATACATGCTTCTTTAATTCATGGGGAATAAGTTCAAAACTATATATGTGCGTGTGTGTGGGTGTGTGAGCCTATTCTCAACCTAATTGTTAACATTATTTATTTATTTATTTCTATGATTTCTTGATCTTCATGTTGTGTATGCTGTAGTTTTACATAATAATTCATTCATTTACCATATTTGGATAGACAACTTGTGGAATGGTTATATCAAATATAACCTTTGAAAAGGGATAGCTTTATCAGCTAATTGTTGAATGATTTATTTTATTGTATTCTCTTCTGTCTTGTGCTAATTGACTTTGTTTCCATTCATGTAGGGAAGTGGAAGATTTTGCACGAAGATTAAATTCAGTTTGGCCTGAAAGAATGCAAATTTTATCTTCGACCCAAGACAGAAGACTAGTACCAATTTCTATGAATAGCAATGGTTCAATGCCCTTGTATACAAGTATGTTGTTCTTTCTATCTTGTCATTATATTCTTTTAGAACCCTGCTTTCTTCCTTGTTTTTCTATCAGGGCTACACAAGCAGTGATATGTTTTTGTTGCATATGTTAATTATTTTCAAGTACTTGTGTTGTTTCATAGGGCTTGATCATTGTGTGATTTCCCCCCGTTTCTTTTACTGTTTTATGTGTGTATATCACATACAAGTTTTGAATTTCAACAAAATGATTTTAATTAGTTACTGATTATTTAGAAGGGCTAGGTTGGTGGTCAGGAGTTGCAACAAAGGTTTTAATCATATATGATCTCAAGTCTCTTGTCATTGAGCATGTAATTTGTGGTACATATAGGTTTTGACCAGAGATAGAGAAGCACCTGGCAGATAATTCAATTTCCTAGGTGAGTGGAAGTTGAAGTGATCTGAAAAGTTGGCAGCTTAGGGTTTGCTGTCATCTGAATCTTGGAAGCACAAGTCTCTGTGTCAACGCGAAGTGAGTACTATTCTTTTGTCCCTTTTAACTTGTAACCAAGAAGCAGTTTTGTTTTTTAACTTTGAACATTTTGAATTCTGCAAGCAAGGGGTGAGGGGCATATAAAGATAAGAGAAAGAGAGAAGAAGAGAGTGAAAAACACTCTTGGAAAGCAATTTTTGAGTACAGTTTGCTCATCTACCTTGACCTTGTTTTCTTGTATTTATTCAACTCTCAATAATTGTGGTGAGGTCTTTGAATTTTTTGAAATTAATTTCATTGTCATTTTTATTTTGTTTAACTTTTTTTTTTTCAGTTGTAAGTTAGAAGTTGTATTATATCCTTCATATACTATTTGGCATTATTAACTTATTAAACTCTCCAAACCCTCACGGGAAATGTGATTATAGTTTAGCTGTATTGTACCTTAAGGGTTTATTTTAGTTGATTACTAGATAGAAGATTGAATACCATTTTATACATTTAGGTTATGTTTTGAGAGTTGGGTTTTGAAGGGAAACGGATGGGAGGACGAATATTTTATGTTCAAAATTAAAGAATTATATAATTTTTATAAAAATAAATAAAAGATTAACATATTAAGTTTATACTAATATATCATTTTATGACTTATTTCAAAAAAATATGAAATTAGAGAATGCTACTTAGAAATAAAAAATCTGTCCTTGCCTTCCTCTTCAAAACTGAACACTCTAAAAGTCTTGTTACTTTTTTGGTGGTTGATTTACTTCATTACTAGTATTTCCTCCCTTGTGCCGTACTATGGTGGCCAAGGAAAGTACAATTTTTATATTGCTGAAAGGGTCCTTCATCAAAAGAAATTTATTAGATGAACAAATTGATGTTTAACTTTGTCTCGAAATCATGTTAAATTTTGTACGGCTGCATGATTTTTCAAGGATATGTGAACGACCAAACTCTAGAAAGAGGCTTAGATAAGGGCCTAGTTTGGATTATCTTTTACCTTATGAGAAGTTTGGTTTATTTTACCCCTCTGATTTATTTTATTTCTTCTCACACAAATGCTTGTTAAGAAATTTATTGGAACCGGCTCGAACATTTGAAGGAAATTGCCCTGTAAAAAGTTGAATTATTTTCCTTTTCCCTCTGCCATCTTCTATAATTGCTTTTGAGAGAATGAGCAGAGTTTATGGGAAATCTGGTCAACGTGACTGACTTCCTCATCTAGTAGGAGTAATTGACGTTTGTAAAAACTATCTCATTAGACCATTGGTCAAGTTCGTGCATCTGGTTCACTTTAACTGTTTTTCTCCGTAGCCACTATTATTTGTCGCGTCTCACAGCAGGTGTATATGTGATGGAGAGCTCATTTATTTGCGACCCATTAGAAATTAATATTGTAATCAATGGTCGAAGGATGCAAGAAACTTCTGATATAAGCGGTATTATTACAGGTATAGAAATCATTTGGGAATTAGAAATCACTCTCAAATATTTATTGTGCAGTCGTATGATTTTTCCATTGTCAGGTGAACTGGATGAACAACTCCACCGTCCGAAATCACAACCTGGGGTATAATAAATACCTGGCAATAAAGATTTCTTGTCAGCAGCTTGGTTTGCAAAATTTGAATATAGGCACTGACAAATTTAGGTAGGAGTTGGACAGTTCGCGCATTATGTCCACTAGTATGAGCCACCATTGCCGTGACGATTTTTGACAAGTAAATTATTTTTATTGGCATGTTTTCATTTATTGATAATATGGAATATGAATTTTTAAGTCTGTTGTGTATTTCTTTGGTATTCCTGTATGACGAGTTAATTTAAAACTTTTTTTCCCAACATTTTGTCTTAATTGATGAGGGGCCCTAAATATGCTATAACTTGAATCGTAATTCTACATGCCCATAATTCATTCATCTTTCCCAGCTGATTAACTTACACTTAGTGGGTCTTGAGGTCATGACATAATAGGCGTTTATCGCCTATTGCTGAGAAATATTTGTATAGAATTAATCTGCTGATTTATTTAGATTGAGTTAATAAATAATGTCCTTTTTTATTTTATTTTTTTCAAATGCGTTAGAATTATCTTATATGTAAAATAATGATGTCATAACTATTTAAGGTCTATTTAGGCAATAATGTATTTGAGCACTTGTTTAAATAGCTTATCACAAAAAAGTTTATATTACAAGCTTGTGTATAAAGCTTACTTAGAAAGACTTAATCTGAATTTTACTATAAAGGTTAATAAGTCAAGAATTTAATAAGAAGGATTAAATTTGGTTTTAGTCTCGGTAAAATTATTATAATTTGGTTTTGGTTTCTCTTAAGTTCTTATTTTTTAATTCATCCTTATAATATTTAAAATACTTGAAATTTATCCTTGCCATTAATAAATATCCGTTAAATGCAGGCTGGATTAACGATTATTCAACTTAGGCAATTTTACTAGGCACTTTAATACATAATTGAAAATAATTTTTCTTTAAATTCACTATATTGTTTTTATTGATAAAAGAAAAAGGAAAAACCCTAACTCAATACTCCATCTTTTTTTACCTACACATGCCCGACAATACATTTATGAGGTACACACAAAGATCTATATAATAACAGAGATAAAATTCTATGGCACTTTCTAATACTTTGAGCAAATTCATATTTATTTTTCTTATATTAATGTTAATTCAATCTATCAAAGCTATTATAAGAAGGATCGTAGCAATTAGATTATTGCCTAGAAATTTTTTGATACATGGGATCTTTATAACAAGGTAAGTGTAGATTATACTTACTTCTAGTCAGGGACTAGAGGATAGTCATTATAAACAAAGTTTTCAGAGAGAAGTTTAGAAAGAACTCATGATATATGAAAACACAAGTTTTATTTTTAGTTCCGTCTGCCTCTAAAGGGCAAGAGTTCTCAATATATAGAGGATGGAAAGCAAACATAATTATTACAAGAGACAGGTTTGGATAAGAATCCAACCTTTTACAAAGTGCCTTTGAGCAAGCAAACAAAGAAGAAAACTTTTAGTACATATGAGTCACACTAAAAATATAATACATAAAGATGCTTTATTACATAAAGTTGATTTTCAGAGATTCTTCAGTCCTTGCAGATAGGCTCATGGCTAGGAGACAAATTTGGGTCATCATCAGTTCTCCATCCTTCCTGATCCACTACAGATTCGTATGGATCCTAAGAGTCCATTATTGTATCAATAGCATGTGATGATTCAACTTCACCACTAATTATGAGATGACTTTCTCTTTTCCAATTTTCAAAAGTAATGCTGGAAGATATCAAAGGTGGAATTACTTGTTGGACTTTGTTCCACATATTTTGATCATGAGGATCTAAAGGACAAATAATATCCATAGATTTTAACTTTGTACATGTGGAGTTTACTTTGATCATTTCTTCCTAGGCTCCATTTTTAACATAGAGATGAGTAATCAGATCAGCATGATAAAATAGTGGTCTTTCCAGTTCTGTTATATCTCTTATACTTCCATAAGTGTTCCAAAATCTAACTTGATTTTGAGTATAGATTAATTTGGAAACTGGATTTTGAAATAAGGTCTATGAATAATTACCACAGGAATATTTTTTGAAAACTCAAGAGGAAGTAAATTAATTTCTTTTCAAATACAGAATCTCTCCATTTCAGACTGAATGTCTTTCTTCCAATACTAAATAGGTTGGAACCAGGTTAAGAATTTTCATAACAGGGATGACTCATGCTGAGGATTATTAAGAAATTTAAACATCTTGAATGTGAGAAACACTATGGGGTAATGAAATAAGAGAGTGACACACCATAACTACCAAAGATCTTATTCAATCATAGGAAACTCCATTAATAAAGCAAAAATATTTAGATAACGAGCATCAGCATGGAACCATGAAGGTTTTGATTTGACACCATGGTTATGAAGAGAAAAAGCTAGATAATGGAACATATGATTTCGAGCAAAATCTTTAATGTATTCTATGGTGAGGAAACCATCATTATTCAACTCAGGTGGAAAGATATGAAGAGGTTGATAACTTGTACTTGCTTCAGCTATGTTGAGTGGGCATATTAGTGGATAACTATGTGCAGAGGTGATAATGGTGATAGGCTTTTTTGGTCTCGATAATAGATCAGGGACAATATTCTTTTCTCCTTTAATATGTTTAACAGTAAAATTATACCTGGAGAACCAATTCTGAAGCCTAAGAATTTGAGGATCAGGAGGCATTTTGTTTTTGAACTCAAGAAGAGCTAGAAAAGAGGAATTATCCATTTAAACTTCAAAATTGTGTCCTCTTAAATGGAAATCAAATTTTTGGATTCCATTTTTTACTACTAAAGCTTTTTTGAATGTAGTATGATAATACTTTTTTGACTCTTTGAATTGTCCACTAACATGTCTACAATAAGCCTTTTTTCCATTTATTTCTTCTAACAGAACAATTCCCCAGTAATGATCACTTGTATCAGTTTGTAAGATCTTTTTTCCTTCACCAGGAATTTTTAATGGTAGAGGATTTTGAGCTATTTGTTTCAAATGACGAACAACTTCAGTTTGTTCTGGACCCCATGGTGAAGGGGTTTTCCTTAAGAGTTTTGATAAAGGACTTGTATATTTAGCAGTATTAGGAATAAAATCCCTAATATAATTCAAGACTTCTAAAAATTGTTGGATCTGTTTGACAGTGAAATTTTCATTAGGAAAATTGAGCAATTCTTCTGCAATATGAGGTTGAGGTTGATAATCTCCCTAAGAAAAATGCATTACCAAAAAATCTATCTAGGATTGAGCCAGTTGTATTTTCTCTCAGACAGCATGATTCCATGATGATCAGCAAGTTCAAAGAATTTATTTAGAAGAATCTTATAGGATTCTTTATCTTTGGAGAATAGGAGAACATCATCAATGTAAATGAGAATACTGTTTAAGATAGGTTCAAAGATTCTTGTCATGGCCTTTTGGAATAAAGATGGTGCAACCTTTAAATCAAATGGAAGTACTTTCCATTGATATTGAGCATTGGGAATACAGAAAACAGTTTTGTATCTACCTGCTGGATCTATCTCCAATTGCCAAAACTCAGATTTTAAATACAACTTTGAAAAAATCATGGCTTCTTTTGTAAATGTGGGAAGAGAAGAGGTCTTTGGAATAAAAAATTTATCATCTTTGAGGAAATGGTTTAATGGTTTGTAGTCAATTACTAACCTCTTTTTTCCTCTCAATTTTTCTGACCTTTTCTCCATATAGAATGCTTGGCATACCCATTCAGATTTCGTTGGTTCAATCAATCCTTGTCTTAATAGTTCATTGCATTCTTGCCTAGCCAGATGGAGGTCACTAGGACTCATTTTAGGATGAGTGACTTTTGTAGGATTGATATCTTCATTGAGCTTGAAAGGAAGTTGAACAAAGAATTCTGGATTATGCCAAATTGGAATTGGATGAGAAAAATTCTCATGTCCTTCTGCATATAATTTTTTGAGTTTCTCTTTTATTTCTGCATAATCTTCTGGTCATTCTTCAAGAGAATAAAGTTTCATTATATCAGTGTATGGCTTGAAGTTTCTTTTGAATTTGACTCCTTTTGGTAATATCTGGAGTTTTTCCATCTAACAATATGCATCCATGCCAAAAAGAATATCCTTGTTAGGAAGATGACTTCCTATAACTTTCATCCAAACTATATAGTCTGGAAAAAAGTTTAATACCAATTGGCATTTTTGAGACCAAATTGGTTTTGAAAAGTTTCCCATCAGCAGCTACAAACAAAGAGGAATCTTTTCTCCAGACTTTTTTGGGAAGAATGTCTGGATTTATCATTGTTCTTTGTGCTCCAGTATCCATGTAAGCAATAGCTTTGATGGGTGTAGCAAATTTTGAAGAAAGGAGTTGAACTTCATCACAAGGTTGTGATGGGATTGGAGTAAGGTTATTGACTTCTTGGGCAGAATAAAGAGGTATAGAACCACTCTCTCTATCAGATGAGTCTGAGGAATCATCAAAGGAGTCTTGAATGGCAAAAACAGTGTCTTGGTCGGTTTCTTCTTGTTCAGAATATTTTGATTCAATATCTCCTTCAAGAGGGTCTAAAAAATTTACCAAATTTTGAGCTTTGGCATCTTTATTGGGACATTTTTTGGCAAAATGTCCTTTTTTTGCCACATATGAAGCATCTGGTGCCTTTGTTCTTTCCCCTTTTTGATTTTTTCTTGAAAAATTTCATTTTTTTCTTCTTCTTTTCTGAAAACTTCTTGATCTTTTCTTTCTTATTGGATGAACAAACACATTTCTTGTCTTTGCATCCGATCTCAAGATAATTCTTCTTGCAGGCTTTTGTGAATTTTGATCTTTAATTCATGACATCTGTAAAAAATAAATGTTGTCTGCAAAGTTTATCAAGAGCTTCAATAGTCATCTGGTGGATTTGTCCAAGATTCAAATTATTTAAGTCTCTTCCTTGGGCCCTAATCATTTTGTGAATTTCAGGTTGTAATTCCTGAGGAAGAGAAGCAACATAGGTATTTTTGAGACTTGTATCATTGTATCCATTGAGAAGATAAAAATTCTCCACCATTCTTTTGTGGTGCTTGTTCATATGACTTTTCTTTAATGAGCAACACTTCATTTCAAAATAGTCTTATTGACTTTCTTATCACAAAGATCCATATCTCCTACAAGTTCTTGGTGTATCGCTCCAAGGACAGAACATGTATTGGATAATTGATGAAACTAATCTTGTTTGAAACTTCCAAGATTGTCGTACAACTCTTTCAAAGAGCCAGTCATTCTGAAACAAAATTCTTCAATG